TAGGTGTTGTCAGCGAGGCAGCATGTGTTTAAATGATGACAGTTTGTCAAGGAAAAATATCTTCTTGTAGCCATAGGATTGCACTGTGTAAATAGGTTATTTTTATTTGTCGGAGTTGTATGAAACGGTCCCACTGACAGCTCATTTGGCTGGTGTCTCCACTTCTGATTCCTCACGTAGTCTGGTAGCATGGTCTGTGAACAGGGCTTGAGTTCGTCTGCAAGCTTCCTTAGGTATGATTAGGGCTCTCCCCCGAGAAAGCTAAGGTTACAAAACTGATGGTTAAGCAAGGATTTCACAAACTAGAAATGAAGAAAAGTGATAACTGATACCAAATTCTTATATAACTTCAGGGAACCTCTGAGTGAAAAAATTTCAAGTGCAGGGGTATCTGGTTTCTGGTAGTTGTTAGGGGAAATGGAAGTTGCACTTAGGAAATTGAAGATCCAGAATACAGTATACAGACTTTGGGAAATGATCAAATGGAAACTTGTCTGCAACAAATTGCTTTAATGATCAGCATAAATGTGTTTTAATTTGGATTAATTACAGCCTGGGAAGACTTTACTTCTAAATAAACTTCAGGAAAATGTCATCCATAATGAATATACTAAATAAACTTCAGTATAAATAAGTGGGTCACGGCTCTCCTTCCCACTGAAGACTTGCTGTGTTTAGAAAATGTAAACAAAGCCCTGCATATATGCTATACCTTAAGGTATTTATGTAATGACAAAAGATCACTTTTTCATTTTCCAACCATCACCAAGGGATTGCAAAGCAATCAAACTTTAACAGCCAATTAATCTCTCTAGATGATGTTTGTGTAGCACTTAACCAGTTTCAGTAAATTAGATCCCTGTGGGCTGGGCTGTTACATTGATAGAAATGTTACTGCTAGCTGGAGGCATTCATTTACTAGTTTGTAAGAACAGCAGTATTGAGAAATCATAGCATATGGAAACAAACTCTGTACCTTTTTAACAGAAACGTTGTTTGTAAAGAATAGGAGATTCTGGGAGTCACCCAGCATGGAGCCTCCCTAACTGAGTAGCTTGTCAGTTCTGTTGGACTTCAGAGACTGCTGTTAAATTCCCTGTAAGAAACATAAGAAATCCATTGGGAGGCAGCTGTGGCTAAAGAAAGATAATTCATTGCAATAGCATCCTCTTAAGCAAACTGTTAAAGGAGCAGATTTACTTAAAGCACTTTGCTGTGCCTAAGCAAAATACATTAAAAATATATTTTTTTTTTTCTTTTAAGTAGGAGAGCGAAAGCTTTCAGTATACACAAGATGTATTTATTTAATTAATTAATTTAAAACTATGCTATCAGAAAATCATCATCTTAGAATGGAGCTGGAAACTTTCCTCTCCTTTTCAGTGTGGTGGTTCAAGGCATCTGTGCTGGTTTTCAGGCTCCCTGTAGCTTGAAGCCTACAAAGCACATCTCCAGGCGGAGAGCTGCGGGACTGATGGCTGCATACCCAGGACAGCATAGGTACAATTACTGGGTGCTGGCTTCTCTGCCACTATTCTGCAAGGATGTGAATTAGCACCGTGATTTCTATGCTAAGTTAGTGTAAAGATTCCCTTGCCTGTGGTGAGGCTCTGGGAGATGGGTCCTGGGGGTTCATTCATGAGTTCAGCTCTATGTGCTCCTTGCTGTGGTCAGTTCCAGCTGGGAGCAAGGCAGGGATTGTGCATCAGAAAGTTCCTGCTTGCATCTGTGCTGGTGTTGCGTTCAGGATGCCAATAGAAGGAGAAAGGAGATGACCTCAGTAATAGCTTCTGATCCTAGAAGATGGAGGTATGTGTTGAGGAAGGAATTAATTCCTGCGCTTGGTAGAAGTCACAGCTCAGACTGCTCTTGAAGCAGGTGTGGAGTCAGTGACACATGGCTGGGATCACAGCCTGGTGTTGGCACCATGGATCTGGAAATTCTGTAGAAACGCTTTCCCTGGTAAGGACTGGGAGGCTATGGAAATTCAGAACTTGCTGCTACCTGGTATGTCAACTTGAGTGTCATGGCCAACCATCTTGGTGGGCCAATGGGAGAGGCAGTTGGTTTACATAGCCATGAATTTTTATTGAATGGTGAACGTGCTGAGTGTGACCGGAAACTTTCCTTTGAGAAACAGGCTCCCTAAACTTTGCTCAAGGCTGCAGTGGTACTTTGCTCCCAAAGTTCACTTGCTATGAAGTGTGTGTGAATATCTGAAACTATAAAAGCTATTCACCATTCTGTGGGTGTTTGCTGAGGCAAAGGCAGGGCCATGAGCACCTGCTAAGAAAGGCAGGTGGTAGCAAATAGGAGGTGACCTTTGGACAAGACCTTCTGCTTTATTCCTTCTGACCACTTATAATATCACATGGTGGCTCGTGATGTGTCCTGACCATATGGTGCTTAGCAGGAGAAGGTTGCATTATATGGTTAGACAGACAGCATATACACGTGGAAGACTAAAAAAAGGTGGCACAACAAGCTGCTAATATGTGAAGGAAGTCTGTTCCATTGCTGTCATGGCCTAGAAACTTTTTTTTTTTTTTTTTTTTTTTTGCTTAGTTGCTGCCGTTCCTGGTGGTCTGTCTGGCAGGACTGGGTACTTGCTGTGGTGCTGAGCATGGTTTAAGGTCTTCAAATTCTAGTGAGGAAAAGCAGCCTCTGCAGTGGATGTTCTTGGCTCTCCCTTGATCAGGACTGACCCTTACTTATACCAACTTCTTCAGGATGTTTTGTATGGTATTTTTCAAATGTAACAGTGAATAGAGGGGAAGGATAACGAGCTACAGCTTGAGACTGCTCCATAGGCAACTGGAAACATGATGGGGAAGTGCCTTGCATGGGTTTACTTAGCAGTCAGTACAGCAGCTGTCATGGAATGAAGGAGATAAATATTAACCAGGTGAGCAGCAAGTAGCACAGTGCATATGGGTAGTCAGACTAATGGTATTGGCCCTCATAGCTGTCTCCCAGCGTTTTTGGAGGACTTGTACTGCAAATGTGTATGTTCAGAAATTCTGCCTGAAAGCAAAATTGGAATTTCTTCCCACACTGTAGCAATTGTAGCACTTGCAAGGGTGGACAGGAAGGTTTTTGAGTGTGGATAATGTGGTCAAAGCATAGTTTAGGACATAGGAAGCCTGTAGCATAAATGTGCTATTCATTACTTTTTTCTAACAAAGCTGTGGTCTGAATGGTTGGTAATGAAATGCTTTTTCAATGCTGTGATTTTACTTAATGTTTAGATACGTGGTGGACAAGTTTAGATAGATGCTCTTTTTTGAAAACAGATGAACAACTTAATGTATTGAATAAAATTACAACTTCCTAAAATGCCATGCTGGGAAAATAAATGCATCTAAGTGATACTTGGCTCTAGGGGTGAGATGAAAGAACAAAACTGCAGGACAGTCTCCAGCTAAGTGAAGTTCTGACAAGGTCATATAACAAAAGCATAATAATATCACCCCGGGTTTGTAGTTATCATTTCAGTATGTGCTCTGACCAGTGAAAGCATTGCTAATTTTGTTTTGTGCAGCTGTTCTCCATGTCATGACTTTTATTTTTGCATTGTTGGATCTTGTTCTCTCCCAGATATGCCTGTTTTCAGTCTCTTCAGCAGTAATAAGCAGCTTTGAGACTGTTAAAACGTTCTTCTTGTAGTTTCAGCTGGAAGTGACAACAGAATATTTTTCTGCAGTTTAAAAGTTGGATGTAACTGAAAGGTTATACCATGTATCTGCTAAATATCTTCTCTGCAATGCAGGAAGGCAAATGCATCTGACTTTAAACTGCAGAATCTAATCAAACACTGCTGAAGCAGGAATGAGTGGTGTAAAGATTCAAGAGGTGATGCTTCCTCCTGTTCAAACATTAGACCTTTGTAGAGCACTTTAATGGGGTGGGAAGCTGCAGAAGAAAAAACATCTGACACTTCACTGTCTCTTCCTGAGATCTGCAACTTGGGAAACTGCCAGCCAGAATGGTACAAGTTGACATGCTGCTCCTGTCATTACAAAGAAAAAGAGATACCCCCCCCAACTTAAATTTATTAAGGTTTTTGCAAACAATTTTAACAGCCTGTTGCCATCCAAAGTAAGGCAGCTGCCATTCCTGGAGGAGGCCAAACGTACAAAACCTAAGCACGTGTCATAGGATGCTTCAGGGAGCGACCAAAGTTACACTGGAGTTACACTGGCATCCACGAGACATCCCTGGAGCGGTGGAGCAGTGATTTCAAGCAACCTTTCAGACCGTCCTTTAGAAGCAATGCTCAGTATCTGAATTATCAACTAGATTTTATAGCAGTATTTAGAACTCTTTTTTTTTTTTTTTTCAGGCTAGCATGTTGTTGCAGGCCTGTGAGACTCAGCTGACTTTGCTGTGAACTAGATCTGTCAGGTGGTAATTATCATGTTCACATGCTTATCTTCTATAAAAGAGAAGGGAGTAAACTCAGTAAAGCTCAGATAGTATGTTCCCCATCCCCCCATAGTTATCTGTATTACACCTATGGCCCAAAAATTCAAACTGAAGCTTGGTTGGAACAGGAATTACACTTGGTTTACCCAGGGGCTTTTCAAAGCTATGCTTTTTAGATGATGGAAGAACGTAGATAATGGGTTCAGGGTTGAAATCTTTGTCAGCTCAGGTCACACATCCAGGGTACCACATCCTATGGGTACCCTGGATGTTGTCTTGCGAAACCTTGTTGTGGGGCTGGGCAACCCCTTTTACAGGGTCCCTTGTTGCCTTTGCAGGCACCAGACAAATTGGCAGTGTTCAGTTCAGATTAACTTGTGGGTTTGCTTGAGGGACACTGCTCCTGGGGCTGTAAAGAAAGCTGCTATTTTTTTTCTAAAATGATCTAGGTAGCAAGGAAAGATGCAAATGGTTTGAAACAGTCCAAAAGCTGTATGAAACAAGTCACATCACCTGTAACAAAGTATTTTACCTTTTTCTCTGGCAGGGATGTGGTTTGAATTGTAGTAGAGATGTGGAGGGGAGAACACATATTTTATTGTATCAGAAGCCTGTAAGTTTAGGAAGACAGATGTACTACTTGGTGAAAGATGTTGAACAGTTCCTGGCAATAAATAAATAAATCTTAATTCTGAATTTCAAAGGGCAAGGGGGCTTTTTGCACTAAATTTTTTAATGAAAAGCCTTCTGAGCCAGCAAGACAGGCCCTGCTATAGGGGAAACATTGATCCTGTCCCTTCTGGATTTTTTGGGAGCTTGGTCTTGTCTGAACTGTCTGAGTAAAATAGCATATGTTCATCTTGACTTGAAGGATGAGGGAGTTAAACTTGCTTAAAAAAGAATTCTTAAGAAGGTATAGATTTTTCTCTTCTTTCTTTTTTCCTCTCCAGACAACATGGCACCTACCTAGGGGAAAGTGGGAAAATACCCAACACCAACACCCAACTGTTATTCTGGAATAACAGTTCTGCACTAGGAAAAAACATGTTCAATCACATATGCATAGAAGTGTGAACAAGCTGCAGTAATCTATGCCCCTGGAACTGGCTCTATTCCAGAGGCTTGCTTACACTGCAAGGGGGAGCAGGTGGCATCTTTGCACAGTCTCCGATTTCAGATTGCATGTTATCTTTAGGGCAGCTTTAAATTCTAGCCAGCGCTCTGTGGGAGTCTCTTGGCACACGCCATCTGGTAGAAACACTGAATCAACCTGGTTTGGTCCTGTCCTCTGGCTGAGGTGGTGGCGTTGAGGAAAACTCTCTACAACTTGGCCTGCTATGTGTGACTTGAAATGGCCTTTCAACTGGGGACTGTGAACTGAGGAGCTGTCGGTGGCTCTCTGCCATGAAATCAGATCCTCCAAGTTGATTTGAAGAAATGTTCTAGGGCAGAGGAGAAACTTTAACTCTAGAGCTGTGTTGTGATACTTTATTTTCATGTTAATCATATCTTTTCCAGTCTGAAAGAATACATTGGTTCCATGTTCTTCCAGCATGGATGATGCTTTGTATCTCTAACTGCCCTTTTCCTTTACAATTTCCTTGTCTGTAGTGTTCCCGTGGGATTAGAAGCAGAACTGAACACAGTCAAAAATAAATCAAAACACACATGTGCCATAGGTTTGTGGTGACAGCCACTGTGATATTTTCTTTCATTCCCTGCTCCTTGAAGGGTTGCTCTTCTGTTTGATTCATTTCTGCTTTGTTGATGAATGCTGATCTGACACTTCTATAGGACTGTCCGCAGATTTCTCTTCCGAGTGGCAATAGCTGATCTAATCACTGTGTATCATGGCTGGATTGATTTCCCCATCACGCCCGCAGAGCATGACTTTGAAGTTGCTGATGTTGAATTCCATCAGATAAGGGCCTCTGGTCTCTGCAAGAAACTTTGAGGACTGGCCAAGGAAACTTAGAAGTCACCAGGCAGGGAATAGAGTTATTTTGTATTTTGAGTTGTTGGCTTTGGCTCTATCACTTTCATCTGTTTGCACCTCTGGGTTATTAAAGGTTTGTCCAAAAAGAAAGGGGAAGGGGGCAGAGTAGCTTAAACAGAGTGCTAGCTGTTCAATCTTTGGGGTTCATAGGCACTATGGTACTAGTTGGTTTTTTTTGTTTGTTTGTTTGCTTGCTTAAAATAAAAGAGGAATTTAGCTCTAAAGGCTAGGGAATACGTGAGGATCTCAGGCTGTGTTCTACCCTAGTATGAATGTGCTGGAGGAGCGGGGGAGAGCAAGGGGCCATCCAGCTACACAAGAGGACAAACCGAACAAGCTCCTTGATGCCAACCCTCTTGAAAATACCCAGAACTCTCTACACAAAAGTGAAGTTTAAAACTGTTAAATAACTTTAAAACCTCAAAATCCCTCTTTGGAAAATATAAGATAAAACAGAAAGAAGCTAAATTTTGCTGTCACCACCACTGTTTTTTTTAAATTCTTAATTTTGTTGTGCTTTTCCATTTTGGGTGGTACCCAGCCAATGTTGTGTTACAGGCTAATATTTTCATTAGTATCCTTATAATTAGTATTCGTGCACATGCTTCTTCAGATGTGAAAAGATGTGTACAAACCGTGTCCTGGTTTTGGAGACTTTCTTGTCGTTTTACTTTACTGTAACCTTAAGGCTCTTGTGCTGACCCTGTTAAGCACAGAGTACTGTCACTCACCAAGTGCTGTTTGTTAGAGGTTTAAACTTTTTCTTTGCAAATATTTTTACTAGATTTGCTGTATTCTTTGCCTTTCAGCAGTTTAGGTGTTCAAACTATACAACCAATACTCTATTACTTGTTTCCTCTTCTTGTTACTTTTCTAAAATATTACTCTTGTAATACATCAATGGGAAAAGAGTTCCTGGACTTGGACACTGAGACTGGTAATGAACCTGTAAAGTGTTTCAGCAGTTCTGGATGGGGTGGAGGAGCAGTAAGTGTGTTTTGATTTGATTGTGGACTTGGCAATGTTAAGTTAAAGGTTGGATTAGGGGATCTTAGAGGTCTATTTCAACCTTAATAACTCTATGACCAGACACCTTATGTAAATGTGCATGGCTTGTTCAGGAGGAGAAACTAAGACCTGCAAACAACTTCATCCCAGCAACACCGGACTTTCATTGGCAAAAATCCAAGATCAACCTTTGTTAAATGCAGCTAGATAATTTTGCATAAAATGAAAGTACATCAGTAATACGATCTCTTAGTCTTCACTGAGGCCAACCACACAATATGTGAACTGTGCTGGGAGCCTTCTGCCTTTCCACCTGACTCCTGGGAACTGCAGATGAGAGCCAGCAGACTGCTCAGGAGCTCAGCAGTAAATGTAGAAGCAGCTTGCTGTGGTTGTGATAGCTCAGCTACTATAGATACCTCCAACATGTTACTGCCTGAAGACACCGCAACTGTTTGCAAAGCCGTGTGCTCTGCATCACCTAAGGCAGTGTTGGGTTCTGCAGAGTCAGGAAAGAGGGTGAGGAAGGAGCAGAGATGGGCAGGAGGTGAAAGGCTTTGTGGTGGGCTGGGACTATAGGGCTGTGAGGTATTAGGCCTGGAAGAAAGGAATATGACAATGAGGTCCTGATTAGGGTTGGCAAGACGTGCCATAGGGGAAGGGAAGAGGTTGGAGCTCAAGGCTTTTGGGGTGAGGTTTGTGCAGACAGACACAGAGCAAAGAGATAGTAAAGTAACAGAAGAAACTTCTGCTTCTCAGCACTGTTTGAAGTCTTTCATCTAAGACTGGTCCTGATTCCACATCTGGCATCCCTACATCTAAACAGCGAGAGAGATAAAACTGCAACAGGGAGTTGTCTCTTTCATATTAATATAAATTAGAAGGAAATCGGTTGGGAAGACTGCATTATGCTAGGCCATTTCAAAGCAGATGTGAATGTGTCCTGATACCATGCATGCATGAAATCTTGCTAACAGTACGTGTGCCAGGAGATTTGGAAATAATTAGTGATGTGGAAACTAGCACTAGGGTGAGTTCTCAATTTTGTCTTGGTTAGAAACTTGAAAGAGAAATGAAAAATAAAGATTCTTATTTTGAAAGGAATAGCACTTTGTAGGCCACCTTTGGAGGGACATATTGGTGCTCATATGTCATCAGTTGCTTTTTGAAAGTCCCAACTCGTAATTTCTAAGCCAACAGAATATTGAATAAGTGAAATGTTTAATAAAAAGGAAAACCTGTCAAAAATATTACTTCCCCTGCAGGAGAGGGTAGTTTCTTCAAAAACATGAGAGGCGCTTAAAAAAAGAAAAGGCAGTAATATTGCTATCTCTTTTCAACATATTTCATCCTTTCAGTTCTTGGTATGCTGTTGTCTGTGGGTGAGACCCTGTACTATCTCCCAGGAATGATGGTGAAAGGCTGAGACATATGCCCATTTATATGCATCTAAGAATTAAGTCACAGGCAACATAGTTATGTAAAATATATCCTGCGGAAAGGTATTATGGTGTAACTCTTCTCATGATGAAATTCTTTAAATAAAAAATTAAAATGTTTAGATGAATCTCGTTGGTGATAGTGAGCTCTGCACCTCTCTCCATGAACTCCAGAATCCTTTAATCTTTTGCATTTGCTGCAATTGCACCTACTTCAAAGCATTGCTGCAGGCATTGGAAAGGATTCTGGCACTCAGTGGGAATAGGGCGGGGATGCAAAATTCTGTCATCACTTGGGGAACTGCAGCCATTTCTGAAGTGCCAGTGTCATCTACCTTTACAAAACGGCAGCAACATAACTGATTTGGGAATGTAGGGAAATATATCTGTATTGGCTGCAGTTTTGAGGAGTTTTCTTGTTGAAAAAGCTTTTTGTTGTTGTTGTTTAAAAAAAAACAACAAGCCTTTTTAAATTGAAATGTGCTTGGAAAATAATCTCAGAAGGGAGCTGAATATAGCATGGTAATGATAGCTGGACATGTATATGGATAGATGCCATTCTGTCTAGTGGTTTTGAAATCAGCCCTGGACACAGCCCAGCCATTGATATGTGGGGCTTGTAGTGGAATGTAGCAGAGGGTCTTAGGGAAGGGCAGGAAAGGGAGTAAAAAATCTGCTATGTTAGTTTTAATAAAGATGGCTTGAATTTTAGCTGTTATCACTTGTGCCTCTCAACTGTTTTTTCAAGTAGTCTGGTGCACACTAAGTTTTAGGTGAGCTAACTAAGTTTAGTGGAAACCGAAGGTGGTGATGCCTTGAAAGAAGCAAATCCTATGCTACTGTTATCAGTAGGAAGAGTAGGACAAAACTCCTGCCGACTGCTGTGAGAATGATCCAAGCAGTAATGAAAATACTTGTCCTCTTTCAAGTCTTGTATTCATACAAGTACACAAGAGCATGTCATTCGCAGATACCTTGGTGTCATATTGGCTTCTATTCTGAAAAAAAGTCTTGATGGTAAATGGCATCTGCTTCCGCTGAGTTGTGCTTTAGCTTATACAGCTGCTACTTTGACTTGCAAAATTACAAGGTACTGCTTTTCAGTGAAGGAATTTAATTGTGGAAGTAGCTGTAAGGTTTTTATGGTACTTAAATTGTTTTATTTTAAAGGCCATGTTAAGAGCATTCTACAACTAAGCCTCAAAAGAATTAGGCATTGTAATGCATTTCAAGCTGCCACTGTTGTAAAGAATTACAATCTTTGAAGTATAAAAAGTGAGAAAATAGCTTCTAAAAGTGAAATCCAAGTGCACGATAGTTGTTTATTGTGCAGTGCACTTAAGTTATGAATGCACATGGTGCTAGGAACAGAAGGCAGTTATCAAGGTGCTTTCAAGGTTTGTTTTTTTTTTTTTTTTTAATAGTCAGTGAGTTTTCAGCTAACCTGTACCACCAATATCTTGCTATTAAAATGCAGTAAAAGCTGAATTGGTGGCAAGGATATCTAATGTGGATAAAAGAAACTTTAAAATAATGCTCAGACTTCTAAGTTTTGTCATATTACAGCAACAACGCTGTTCACTCTCAGTAAGAGTGCTACAAGTCTGTGCTCTCAATTGACATACATCCTAATGTTGGGAACAAAGAACAATTTATCAATTTGAAAGTTAGAGCTAGAAATACGGATTGCAGTGTCCAGCAGTTGGATTTTCAAGTTAGAACCTTATATTGCAGAAATAACTTGTAAATATAATTTTTTCTATAAGAAATTTAACTCCAATCTTTAACCGCTGTTGGAAAGGAAGGAACTTGACTGCACTTTGATCTGTACTTAATAAACTTGATCTTAGTTTACACTTCCTTCTGTTATGAAAGATCAAAGGGTACTCAAAGCTGAAACCTTCTTGGATTTTGCATGTTTAATATGATGTTATTTTGTTTTTGGTATTGGAGACAGTACCATTTCCTCAAGGCAAGAAGATCAGAACAGGTAGCTATTATTGGGCCTTTGTGATAACCGCTCTGTGTTAATGTTATAGGTGCCCTAACAGAATAAAATCTATTCATAACATATGACTTCACTTAGCCCAGTTAGTTACATAGTGTTACTAGGAAAGTTGAGTGTTTTTTTTTTCTTGTTTCTTAAATAAAAGCTTCCATATTGTGTAGTGCTTCAGGGAAAAAAAAAAAAAAAAAAAAGGCATATCACCTTTCTCCACAGAGGCTGTAAAAACCATAGGTAATCTTCAGCCAAAATCTCAGCCAAAAATTAGTACACCTAGTAACTAAAGAAATAAATAACCCAACATCGCCAGTGCTGGCATGAATTAATTTGTATATTACTAGACACGAATGACATCATTCACAAGGAACACGTGTTCTTTCTAAGTAATCTTGAATAGGACACAACCTCTTACCTGCCTGGGCGAGAAGATTAAGGCTGTCAGATTGATTCTACCTCTGTAGCTTTCTGCATAGGTAATGTTTTGTAAGTATTATTATTGCAACATGAATATTGAGTTTTTAATTGCATGATTAAAACAAAGATTTTTATCAGTCTACCTTATTCCCCAGGCGTTCCCCTACATAACCATGTGCAACATAACCATGTTTTTGTTGCACAAATATGAGTTGTGGAAACAGTGAGTGGAAGATGCTAAAGGAAATGATGAGATAGGGGAAAAGACATGTATAAAAATTAAGTTGAACTCATATATAATCTATATAACATTCTCCACAACTATTTTAGATGTGGATATCTATAACTTAGATTGACCATAAAATTATATTTCCCTTGTGACGTTTGCTAATCTGTCACATTGTCCAAGATGATATAAGGTGAAAAATTTGGTCTAGGGTGGCTGGTGTTCTAGATAACTACAGAAAAACGCAAACTTCCTGCTACCAATTTTACCACCTGCTTATCTTTGATTTCCTTTTTTAATTTATCAAATTGCTGTGTTTTGATAATAATTGCTTGCTCGCTTTCCCCAGAGCTGCAAGACCTAATCTTAGTGGACTGCATAATAGAGTATTTAGAGAATCTAAGAGATGTCAATGTTGCGGGTTTTGCTAGTCAACACTGCCTCAACAAAACATGGTCTAGTGCAGACTGATTCTGCAAGCTTAGCAGTCCTAGACTAGGTTAACTTTTGGCTGAGAGGCCACCTGGGAATCCTGGGTACTGTAGGAACAAACTGAGAGGTCAAGATCAAACCCTTGGCAAGTATTAGACCACAGATGTTGAATGAGCAGAAAGACTTCATTCAGCACCATTGGTGCTGCTGAGCTGACAGATGGGAATAAAAACCCACCAACAGCCCTTCCCCTCCTTGCCAGTGAAAGCTTTCTGTTGATCTATGAATAGCTAATCACACCCAGGGAGCAGCATTCTGCAGTTGCCTCGTTTGGGGCTAATGATACTGTGCATTACTGTCCATAAATGGCTTTCCTCAAAACATTTTTTTTCCAGAGAATTCTCTCAGTTTCTCTCATGAGACGATGTAGGACAGATTGGCAGGAGACAGAAAAGGGAAGTGTGGACCTGTGGCTGAAAAGCCAGACTAGAAATTGGGTTTTGCCAATTCCAGCCTAATGAGTGGTTTTGAAGCATAATTGTTCTGTGGAAGTGCTTATAAAAATATGTATCTGATAGGTTTGTTGTTGATGAAAGTCTGTAGTAGGAATGTAGAAGAAAAATGAGAAGTTTCCACTGGGAGCCAAATTTTCTGTCTTTATGACCGTCTAGCATTATGAATGAATATTATGAATGTCTGGCATTCCTAATTATGTTGTAGCTAATTTGTCCTGCCTTTTTCATATTCTTTTGTGATTTTATATCTGATAAAGCATATCTTTGACTGTTGAAAATAGTGACATGCAGCTTTTCTGTAATTCATTTTTTGAATAGCTTCATTTGCAGACTTACCAGATGATTAGTACCAAGAAAAGACAACTATTTTTCAGCTGTTCTCACAGAGCCGGTTGGTGTCTCCTCTCTTGATAATTTATGCCCTCGGAAGATTTATTTTAAAGAAGTAAGGGAAAGACTAAATTTCACTGAGTAAATTTCACTAAATTTCATCAGATTTTCAAAAAGTTGAGCCTGAAGATGAAGATGCTTCTGTATTTTTGATAGCATTGCACTTCTTAAAAATTGTATCTCTGATTTCTCTGCTTTAGTGATCATGGGCTGTTAGTCAAAATATTCAGTCTCTTTTCAAAGAGAAAGACAAGCCACACAGAGTGGACTGTGAAGGAGCTCAGCCAAATTGTGGAGTTCTTGTTCCTTTTCTGAAATTCTTGTACCACGTTTCCCAGTCTGAATTAGAAGAACAGGGCAGATGAGCTCGTCTGCTACTGCTGATTTTCCAGTTATAACTGTGGTGATGCCATCTACATACCTCTACAGAAAACCAATGGCATAAGCAGAAAGGAAAGTTAGCAGGAGATCCATGTAATGTTGATTGACTGACCATACGCAGGTTCATGGCTTTGTGAGAGGTTTTCAGATCATCCTCCTGTAGCACAGCTCAGCCGTTCTTGGCTCAGTACTTGAAGTAGTATAGGATCTATGCTTTTGGAGAGTTCTTGGGTGAATCCGAAGGGCAAGTCTTTCACAGCACCACTTAATATCACTAAAGCACATCAGATAACCTGCAGTTCTCCAGTAGGCCTGTGTAAATCACTAATTTGTTGATTGCCAATTAGAAAAGCTTTGCATTTTTCAGTTTTATTCAGTCCTCATCTTTGGAGGGGGAAAAAAAAAAGCATTCTTGCCCTTCTACTTAATGGAAAAGCAAAACAATTGGGTACAGTGTCATTACACCTACAAAACATGCTGTTAAAGACATGATTTTAAAGAGGAAGAATTAAAAAGTATTTTTCATAATGCCTAAAGTTCTCCATGCTCTTTGCTAGTGCTCAATGTTCAATTATTTGCCCCCTGGAGGTATAATGTCCAAACTGTTTATGAATTTTACCCACAAAAGCCAAGAAATACTAATTTTCCAGGGATGAATCTTCTCATCACTGTTCTTGGGTGACAACCACGTCACCTACACTGCTGCTTGTGAGAGCTGCTTTCCCAGGGGATGTACAGCGGTAATGCAGACAAGCCACCACGATGCAGTATCCCATATGCTGTGCACGGTTAACGTCTACTCTGCTCTTTCAGCTGGGCGCATGTGTGGGAACAACTTGTGCTATCAACTGACGTGCATCTTAATATTTGTTTCCATCCACATTCTTTCAATACCGCAGAACTTAAGATTATGTTCAAACCAGCCTGGTAAACTTGGCAAATTTTGACTTCATTAAGGAAGGCGGTTATAATGTTTCATAACAAATTGTTCCAGAGAAACTCTCTTGTAAGATGCAGAATGCACAATTTAGTTTTTTTACTACGAAACTATATTTCTATTAGGGCATAGTGTTAATGATTCAACATAAAATGCAATGCCGGATGCGGAGTGAATTTGAAATCATTTAGCATACTTGATTGTTAACTGAACCAGCTCTCCTAGAGTGCGTTGGCTGCCATCTGTCCATTTACTGACAGCCTTGTCGGGGGGGGAAATCTTGAGAGCTGGCAGAGGTCCAGTTTGCCGCAGGTCTGCTTTCTAGTGTTTTTGTAACAGATGTTGTGCCACATGCCCAGAGCTGCTGCCTATAAGCTGCTGTGTGCTCAAATTTTTAATTCGGGGGATGCCTGATTCTCTCGGATGCAAGATTTGCATTTATCTTAGCAGGCTATTATGGGGTTCCTTTGTTATAATGACAGTCTGATGAAAGAGCCGGAGCCAAAACTCAAACCCCTAGGCCTCTGTCACAGGTTTTCTGATGACTTCAGTGGACACTGGATTGAACCTGGACTGGCTGGTTATTAATAAGATACTTATCTTCTATTTTTTGAAAGATGTATTTTGGAGTACTATGGAGTTCCTAAAGCATACAGTGTAGAGTCAGGGAGCCTGCAGGTCTGCATGGTGCTTTTAAGGAATTCAGCGGCATCTGTGTATCCAGGATGCTCAGAAGTGTTTATACATGCAGACACCCTGCCTCCTATACACAAACTAGAAATTACGCTAATTCTTCCTCCTCTCTTATCTTCCATATATAACATAATTTGACAGTGAAACAGTTCAATCTAAATTTATGTAAATCAACCAAGGTGAGATGAAGCTTTAGGAACTGCTGTGTTTTTCAATTCCGTGATTGAAATGCTTTGCTCCTCCTGTGCAGCTCGGCAGTTGTCAGCAGCATAGCGGGAGGAAATTATCATCTTCCTGCAGCAACCCCTGCTGCTGCTGATAGGAAAGATTTCTTCTCCCCTTCCTTTCTTTTCATGAACAAAAAGCAAAAGAAAGAAAGAATAGATTAATGGGGTAATACAACACGCGGCATCATGCATATCCAGACACTTTATACATATGTTTTCTGTTTCCAGGGGTTTGTTGTATAAAACTGGTACCATGGTTGTCCACAGAATCCTTCTTCTAGCCTAGTTTATATTTCCACTTGATCATTTTTTAGTGGCCTGCCTGCGTGATTTCTTCGAGAGGATGAAAAGTGTTTTGGCTATGTGTCTGTTCAGCTGTAAAAGAAAACGTCCATTGATTTGCTGCTGGCGCTGTGCGTGTTTGTGTGTATAAATATGGTACAACAGGTGACCTATTTTCATGTGCTGAGCCTGCAAAACTTTCTGATCTCAGCAATTCACTTTTCACATTGCTGTCCGAGACTCTCTGAGCTTAAAATATTTGGTACAAAGACCCTGTTTTTCACAATATTAATAGAAGGTACATGAAATAAAAAATGTAGTTACAAACCTGAATCTTCTTGGTTAGCCTTCATCATTTTGTCTGTTAAATGCAATTTACCTGTCAGGGAAATGCTTCCCATGGGCTGAGATGCTGCAAGGATAATATGTCTGGGACATTCTGAATTTTGGGAAGGCCTTCATAGTCTAACTAGAACAGTGACTAGCTAGTGATCCTAGCATCTTAGGATCTCAGGCTGAGAAATGCTACTAGTTTGTGCTGTGTATGCAGACAACAGTTACTCAGCAACAAATGTTGCTCTCCTTCCCATATCGCTCTCCTTCCAGATAAGTTATTAGCAAGTCTTAAAAATACAAGTAGATAGTAAATGTTTAATGCCTATGGAATGACTTGGAAGCCTACAAATACCCTAGCATGCAGCATATAATTGAGTCACAAAAAGATGAGCATTCCAAGGTATGAGTGATGATTTAAAATGAATAAATAAACAACTCTCTCCCTCCTAAACAGCTGCCAGGTTAAAAAATAAAATAAAATAAAAATTCAGTTTAGCATCCCAACAATGTTTGCTCCACAGGTGTGCATGCTGTACCAAATGTACATGCTATGGTTTACAGCAGGCATTTAACTGAACGAGGTGACAATTTTTTTCTGCCTTGAAGTAATGTAAGATGCAAAGTATTTGTCTACAGTTGAAATGCTGTCATTTTCCTAAAGATTGGAGGTAATCTTACTAAAAGCAAAGCAAGAATGTTGCAAGATATCAGTAGAAAGTTGGCAAACTTCACTGAAGTCAGGTGAAGCTGCAGCATGTATATATCTTGGCTGATAAAATACCTCTGTAGCTAGTAGCCTAACAATGCAGTTAGAACAAGCTGTTGCTAACACAAGCATTTAATTTTCCATACCGTGCATAGTTTAAGTTATATAAAAGCACGTGTCTGTGGTATTTCTCTAAAATAGAAGAGAACAAATTCTACAATAGCTATATCAGGACAATTTCTGCAGTTCTTACCTGTTTAATCTGAAGACAGATGTTGACAGTTCTGGTGCGTAACTGCTGGTGCTCCAGGATGCAGCACAACCCTTCGCGAGCTGGATAAGTGTTGGTACAAATACTGAACCAGATCTGATTAATTGAGGCATGAACGGTTTGGAAGACAGGCAAGGAAAACACAGAATTTTAATGTTCACTATAAATAAGACTATGTAGGAACCATGGTGTCTTTTCTCCTCTCTATCCTTTTATAATCCTAAAGTCAGGCACTCTCCCTCTCTCTTGCCTTCTCTACATTGCTTAGCAACACTCATGGATGAACTTGCTTAAAGCAGAGCTTTGTTCCCAAATGTGATTTCAGTAATATTTGTAGGCTCAACAGTTCTGAGATGCAAAAATCAGCCCCCTTTCTCCCCATCACTGTTAGCCTACTTCATTAAATAATCTCGCTTCCTCTCTGCTTCTGCACCCCGGGCATGTTTCAGTTTTTGTCTCTACTGTTTTGATCCAACCAAGAGTGATGGAGAAGGCGGGGGGAGATTTGAATAAAGGTTTAATTATAGAGGGCACTCATACAAAATGTACAACAAAGCTGTGTGTTGGGTGTAGATTGGAGTACAAATGCAGAATGGGTCAAGAAAAGAACCATTATTTTTCTCCACTCAGCTTTCAATTTGATCTTAAAGTTAAGATTGAATAAATGGTATTTTTTTGTGCCAACAGTTGCATACTGAATTTGGTATGACCAACTGCATATTACAGCAGCGCCTTGAACAATCATTTTAAGTAGGGAGAAACTACAGTAGCTAATCGTTACCTGCATAGTTTTCCTAATTTCAGCAACACAGTGAGGTATCAGCATTTCCTAGAAATTCAGTTTGCCAGGATAAACCTGTATCTGACTCCCATCCTTTTTCTGGAGGATGGTCTGGTTCATCCATTCTGTTTCTTCCACCCTGGCTCTTTTTTTCTGCAACTCACTGAACTTTCAGTTCTTTGTGTATGTGTGATGAGTTAGATCACTAACTCATCATGAAGAGATTTCTGTGGAAATGCAAATATTTTCTGTTGAAGTCTCTCAATATATAAACTTAGTGTTCAGCATATATGAAATACCTGTGCAGAAGCTGGTAGTAAGTGTATGAGTTGTATTGTTCCAACAGTGCCATGACCACCTTGCTGATGGTTGTGGTTTTACCATGCTAGGCAGCTGAACACCCCAACCGCTCTTTCACTCCCCCTCCTTAGAAGGAGAAAAGAACAACTCATGGGTTGAGATTAGGATAATTTAACTAAAGGGAAAAAATAATTATTAAGGAAAGATTATTATTAATTAAACAATTTAATAAAGGGAAGAAAGGGAAAGGGGAAAAGGGAGGGGGGAAAGGAAAAAAACAAACAAGTGAAGGCTATGTGAAGTGCAGAGGAAAGAAATTACTCTCTGCTTCCCACAAATGAGCAATGCTTGACCACATCCTTGAAGCAGGGCCTCAACGAATGTAGCCGGTGTTCGGGAGGACAGATGTTTTTGCAACGAGAGCCCACCCCTCCCCTCTTCTTCCTGTTTCCACCTTTTATGGCTGAGTGTGGCATCATATGGTATGGAATATCCCTTTGGTTGGTTTAGGTCAGCTGCCCTGGTGATGTTTCTTTCTCACTTTTTTGCTCGCCCCCTAGGAAGGTTAGAGTCCTGATGCTGTGCCAGCACTGCTCAGCAGCAGACACAACCCTGGTGTGATCCCACTGCTGTTCCAGCTACAAGTGCAGAGCACAGCACTGTATCAGCTGCTGCAGGGAAAGATAACATCCCAGCCAGACCCAGTACAATGGTCCATTGAAAGGTCTCTATTTTGAAATGGAAGTCTTGCCAGTCATGGCATACCATTGGAACTTTTACCAAGCAACATGGTCTAATGTAAATGCTTTTATGTTTAGGCACCTATTATGTATTTTGAGGTTGGAACTCAGCTGAATTTCCTACCTGGTTTAAACAGTAATTCTGAGTGGCCTGTTGTTAAGAAGTGAGGTATGCAGTCTTGTGCTCTCTCAGCTCTAAGACAAGGAATAAAATGAGGCACCTTAAGAAAAGTCAGTGTATAAAATTATGTAGCAAATCTCTAGCAAATTTTGTAGGGATAGTCAAAACATTATGGGAAAAAGATGCAGAATTTTTTAGATGCCTTGGAGAATTGTAACTTACCTGAAACTAAAATCTACTTACCTCACAGTTTGTCTAGATAGAAACCAAATGAAATTCTGAGTTATCGTGCTGTCTTTTGTTGGGTTTTGTCATGGAGCTTGGTAGGATATTGTCCTTTCAACAAGAGATTGAATCAAAAAAAAAAAAAAAAAAAAGGCCCAAATATCCTCATGGGAAGTTATTTACCAAGATAAAGGGATGTCTGAAAGCTCTTACAGCAGGAGTACTGAAGAACTTCGTGATTCCTTGTTCTCGTGTATGTTAGCTAGTGTGTGTCTGCCCCTGCACCTCTTTCTGCATCAAACTTGTGCTATTACCTTCAAGGTGTTTCGTTGTAGCTGGATAATTTCAGTGCTTAGTGTTATTATGAAGAAACAACTAAAATCAGGAAAAGTAAAAATGGACAGAGAATTTAGGTTTATTCTCTTGTGTGAGAAGTGGGTTTCTTTTGTCATTGATCAAATTATAGATATCAATAAAGATATCAAATTGACCCCTTCCCCTTGGCTTTACCTTCGCAGACAAATTTCTTGGTGAGACATTAGATGAAAACGATTACTAGTGTGAAATGTTTTTTATTTCCTCAGAACACTGCGGGGAAAAAATAGTCCTTGGCAGTGTGTCCTGTACTTGTCTTGTTTGTTGACATCTAACTTTGTCATACTTCTTAGCTATGTTTACCTGGTTTTGCTTCTGACATCTGGGAATAAGAAGTCATATGGAAGTTAAAGATGATACTCTGAAGGAAAGAAAACGTATTTATTTTCTATATGGTGTAATTCTATTACTTTTCATTGTCAGTGAATGTGCAATCAGACAGCACAATGTCAATCTTTTTCTTCTCATCCATTTAAGTGAAAGCTGCTTTTCAAGAGTTAATTGAAGTCTGGGGTTACCACTTGGAGCAGTACTGTTGTCTGAATTCAGTTTAAACGAGAGTGCTAAGTGAAAGGGTGGTTCTGCTTTGTTCTGAGGTCTTACGGTAGAAGTGATTTTCAAGGAGATAAACAGTCATAGAACCACCAGACTGGGCCTAAGGAGTTATGATATTTGTGTATGAAATGTCAAAATGTCAAAGCCAGAGAGCTGATAATTGCTTTGTTACTGTCACAGCTGTTTATGCTTTATGCAGTAATAGTGATTTTCAATATTACTGTTTTTTTTTTTTTGTTTTGTTTTGTTTTGTTTTGTTTTTTTAGCCAGAATACATTAGGACTTGCTGTTGTGCTGATCTGAGTGAAAAGCAGATTATTTTTGCAAAAGATCTCACCAGTGATCAATTGTCACTTGCTTTAAAAGTATGTAAAGATTTATTTGTAGTATGGCTAGATATTCAATTGAAAATGTACTGCATTATAATCTTACTGTCTTCCTAACATCTTCAAACAACTTGAACTATTGATCAGAGTAAAACTGGCCATGGTTCTGTCTGAGACCATGTAAGGATGGAACTGGTTCTGCACTAAAAGAGCCCAGTATAACACCCAACGTTCACGAGATACCTCGTACTGTTAGGTAGGATTAGGCATAGCGGTAATGATGAGGCTGAAGAGAGCACATTTATCTTGTGCTTTTCATTTTCAAAGTACTTTAAAGACAGTATCTAATTAATCCCTACCACAGCCAGATTAAATAATTCAAGTGCTTCTCCAGCTCAGCTGCTGTCATTATCAGCACTTTGCAGGTGATGGGGATATTCTGCATTTACTCCTGTATTTATTCCTGTTGCACTTGGTTGGAATCCTGCTGACCTTGCTGTTCTGGCAGAAACCCTGAAAAACGCTTTTTATTGGAACAAAATGAAATGCTTGACTCTGAGTATGTGAACAAAAAGCTGTAGAAAACTAGGAATGGAAAAGCAGAGAAACTGAAGGCCTGTTGGCTAAGTGACCATCCTTAAGGTTTGCTCTAGAAAACAACTCTTGGATTAAGGTGATAGTTGTGAACCGAGATTACACAGCTATGGGGAGAGAATCCTGAACACAGGGTTTGGAAACAGCTGGTATGATGAGGGGAGGGGAATGGGAAGTCATTTCCTCAGGTTTGGTGGAAGATTCTCCCCCTCTATGCTTCTTTTGTAGGTAAAACTATTCTCTGAAATTGCAAATTGGCTGAGAAAATTCAGGTCACTTGAGAAAATTGAAGTGCCATAGAAGGTGGCACTATGCATCTGGAATGCTTTTGCTGCTGAGTTCTAGCACATGGTGCTGTCACATTGTCTTAACTTTCCAACTCTTTCAACCTCATGATTCAGTATCTTTTTCATCTCTTTATCTCTGTGGACTTTATGGGAGAAAATGTGCAATGTTTGTGCCCAGCAGAGGACAGATGGGGGACTTGGACAGGAGCATTGCTCTGATGCAAGCAGTATGTAATAACTGCAGAGCAGATTTGCTGTTACAGACACTGGCCTTTGTGCTGCACACACAAAAATCTTCCGTATGACATAAAAGTGAAATGTTACCTTGTTTTTGCAGGCATTTATAAACAAAAGCTAGGCAATGACACTGATCTTCCCTTGTTCCCGTGTTTTCAAATTAAAGAACCAAGAAGCGTGACATGTAAAATCCTTCAGTAAGTTGCTCCTGTTATGACCTGCAGAGTTGTCTTTCAAAACTTTGTAACCCTCTTATAGTAGACATTGTATGATGTTTAAATAACCCTGCTAGACAGCTGTCATTTCCCATTCTAGCAACCCACCTATTGTTCCAAGGTGTGTGCAGCCCAGAACAGAGATGGGGAGCAGTGATGGAGCCCTCCTGTGGCTCATTTGCTGCCTGCTCCTTCCCATGAATAGGATAAAATTTGGACTGGGCAGTCCTATGAATTTACTAGGATTGCACCCTATTAATGTTACAAAGGTAGCAGAAAATCTTGACTGTTTACCAGCTGAGAAATTGATACACCTGACATGAATAAATTCCGCTTGTGTGTGCGGATAAATTCTGTGTTATGCTCATGCCTCCATTCTCCCTCCATTTCTAAGGGAGGTGGGGTGGAGGCTCTAAGTGGCTCTAAGAAACCAGACAACAACTTGGGCCCCAATCCTACAAGCTGTAGGCACTTGCTAACTTTATTTGCAGACAGTTGTATTTATTCTTCAAGCTATCTTTGTAGGTCTAAGGGGTTTTAATATTGGGGCTTGAAGGGATGATCCTGTTCTATTATAATAGACAGTTTTGTCACAGATGTCAGTGGGAGCAGAAGTGAGCCTTAAACAGGTAAGATTTTTTTCCTAACATGGCTGCTTTAATAAGAGCATATTGTCTCATCAATTTTTAAGCT